TATATATATATATATATATATCACTATATATATAATATTCTGGCAGGCCTCGCCAGCCTACCCGGCAACCCACTCCCGGCGGCTGACCCGATGACCATTGTCCACCCACGCCCACTGATGACCAACTCCCATTGCACCTCCCTCCCCCGTCCACCGTCACCCCACGCCCACACACGTCACACGCCCTGCGGCTCCCTCACCAATGGTGAGGGAGCCGCAGGGCTCCCTCACCCACATGTATCCGTCCACAAAGGGTGGACGGATACATGTGGGGTGGTCAAGAGAGGGAGGGGATCACCAGTGCGCCAATAAGTGTTTGAAAAAGATAAGTTGAGTCCAGTCCTGTGGTGAACATTGCGAGTATCGTGGTGAGTGCATCACACCCAGTAGGCCAGAATACATTCACCAGTGTTTAGTGATATAAAAGGAAATTATCCGTGTTAAATGCAACCCCAAACTCTCCCTCCTCCACCCCCGGTGTTTAGTGTCTCTCCCCCCCCACCTTGCAGTAAGTGTAGCGTCTTCCGCTCCCTCCCCCCCCCCCCCCCCGTGTGTTGTGTCTCCCGCCCCCTGCAGTGGGGTGTAGTGTATTCAGCTCCCCCACCCCCACCTCCCACGATCAGGTGGTCACGCCTTCCTCCACCCCCCATCCCTGACGCGCCAGTGCAGCCTCCCATGCATCCCCACCCCCCACCCACCACCTCCAGGAGCCCACCCACCCCAGGCATCTGCCCAGACATGACGCATGGTATTGGGGACCTCCAGGTTTCCCCCAGCCAGGAAGGAGAGACAAATACTTCAGTGCAAGGTGACAGTCACTCCACTTAAGGGAAAGGCAGAAAAGGCCGCTGCAAGCCAGCTCATCCCTACTGAAGCCAACCAAAGGAGAGGCACATGCAAGGGTTGTGGGAGCAACATTAGCATCAACACGGTCTCCAGAGTCATACGCCAGCATTGTGACTGTGCTTGGTCAGGGAGGCCTCCCGTGGGAGGAGGCAGCACTCAGGAGTCTAATGCACCTGTGCAGATTGCAACAGATTATATTGCAACAGACGACCTGCTAGAAGCAACGTTAACAAGGACGCTCACCCACATTCCAAAGGCATCTCGCCCATTTGCTGCTGGGAAATACACAGACCTCATCGGAAAAGTCAACAAAGGGTCAAATACACTTGATGAACCAGATACCATCAAATCCTGGCACAATCTATTACATTTTGGCAACGCATGCTTAGGTGTTCTAAACAGAGGAGGCAAGACACTGGCCTCATCCGTCAATAAAGCAATTAGGGATTTTCCTAGGGCTGACAACCTAATCCGCCTCCCCAAACACACCAAACACCGCCGCGGCAGACCAAGTAAGACCCTTAGTGACAACAGAAAATTAGGTACCCAAGTCAGCAAGAAAATTGAAGAGGGTAATACAGTCGGGGCACTCAGGTTGATCACAAGTGAGGTTCAACACTGTAGAGGAATGCCCAACAGACCACTGGAACATTATCTAGCACAGTGCACAGTTACAAACCCATTAAGATTTCAACTTAGATTCAACAGAGCAGAAGAAGTTGTTAAACACATGGCAAAATCTTACTAAAGCGACCATACGAGTCATAAATACTCATACTCCGCCAAGTAAAACAGAAACAAGCAACACTTAGTGGGCCAGCCAGAGGCTTAGGGCCCGTGCAGGAATATCCCTGAAAAAAAAAGAGGACAAAATTTTGCCCAGGGATGAAACTACAACCCAATAATGGAGAAAAAAACAACCCCCCTTAGGGCTGTTGGGGGACCTTCCCCGCAGGTCAGGGTCCCACCTATCTTGAGGTTATCTTGAGTTGATTTCGGGGCTTTAGTGTCCCCGCGGCCCGGTCCTCGACCAGGCCTCCACCCCAAGGAAGCAGCCCGTGACAGCTGACTAACTACCAGGTACCTATTTACTGCTAGATAACAGCGGCATATGGTGAAAGAAACTCTGCCCATCGTTTCTCACCAGCGCCCGGGATCGAACCCGGGACCACAGGATCACATGTCCAGCGTGCTGTCCGCTCGGCCGGCCGGCCCCCTCCTAACCAGGAACCTCTCGTCCTCCGGGAGTCAGAGGTTTATAAAGCTATCGTTTCATTTCCCCCGGGCTCCTCAGGAGGCTACACAGGGGTAAGACCTCAACATGTGAAGGAAATGGTGAACCCTGTTCTTGGCCCAGCTGCAGAAGCGCTCCTGACAGAAATCACAACGTTTGTCAACAACTGCCTCGCCGGGTTAATCCCTGATGAAATCAAACCATTCTTCTTTGGTGCATCCCTATGTGCCCTGAAAAAGAAGGGGGGAGGGATCAGACCCATTGCCATTGGTAATACCCTTCGCCGCCTAGTTGCAAGGGCTGCTGTCAGAAGTATCCGAATGGAAGCAGCCACCATGCTGCAACCCAACCAGCTGGGGTTTGGAGTCCCCCAAGGCTGTGAAGCAGCGGCTCATGCTGCACGAGCCTACATTAGCTCTCTTACTGAAGACCAGGCAGTAGTAAAATTAGATTTAAAAAACGCTTTCAACTCGGTCAAAAGGAAAGTAGTCTTACCGCAGTCCAGGAACATTGCCCAAGTATTCTCCCGTTTGTTTCAGCAGGTTACAGCAAAGACTCAACCCTCCTGTTTGGCAAACACGAAGTCACCTCAGCAGAGGGAATTCAACCGGGAGACCCACTTGCGCCCTTCCTCTTTTGCATAGCGGTTCGAGAAATTACAACCAGACTGTCCAGTGAGCTCAACATCTGGTTCCTGGATGATGGCACTCTGGCAGGCACACAAGATTCCCTGCTGGAAGACCTGCAGCTGGTGAAGACACCGGGGGAGACCATGGGTCTCGTTCTTAACCCCTCCAAGTGCGAAATTATTGCATCCAGTGAGGTAAATAAACCCACCGACAGCACACTGCTTGGAGCACTCATAATGCCATTGCTGCAGTCCGTGATGAAAAGTTTAACGACCAAACGAGGATGGAAGAGAGAATAGGGGACTTGGACTCCCATGATGCCCTTTACCTTCTCACAAAGTGCCTTACCTTGCCTAGGCTAGCATACTATTTAAGGTGTGCACCAACTTTTGGCATGATGAGCTCCTCAGGTCAATATTCAGGAAGGCGCTCAACCTAGATTTAGATGAGTCAGTGGGACCAAGCAACACTACCTGTGAGATTTGGGGGTATAGGCATACGAAAGGCAACTGAGGTAGCACTTCCAGCCTTCTTATCCTCATGCAAAGCGGCCAACGAATTAGTAGGAAAGATCCTACCAGAGCGTATGAGAAACACAGCGGGAACTCATGCTCAAACGTTCATCAAAGCAGCCTGACAAAAGGAAACCATTGCACATTCTGTACCCCGACCACAAGTCCCAAAAGACCACAAGCAGGCCCACTGGGATAGCCCCATAATGGAAAAAAACTGTCACCTCAATGATTGAAAACGCAGATGCTGAAAACAAAGCCCTCCTCCTAGCGGTAACAGCACCCCACGCCGGTGATTTTTTATTTTTTGTGCCCAATGCAGCCCTGGGAACTCGCCTCAATCATGACGTTCTCCGCATTGGAGTTGCCCTTCGCCTTGCAGCTCCCATCCTCACCGAACATAGGTGTATCTGCGGAACTGCGATGGCAGACCAATACCCTTCCACTACCACCCACGGGATGATATGGGGGGGGGTGTCTGTTACCCTTCCACTACCACTCACGGGATGGTATGGGGGGGGGTGTCTGTTACCCTTCCACTACCACTCACGGGATGGTATGGGGGGTGTCTGTTACCCTTCCACTACCACCCATAGGATGGAATGGGGTGTGTCTGTTACCCTTCCACTACCACCCACGGGATGGTATGGGGTGTGTCTGTTACCCTTCCACTACCACCCACGGGATGGTATGGGGGGGGTGTCTGTTACCCTTCCACTACCACCCACGGGATGGTATGGGGGGGAGGTGTCTGTTACCCTTCCACTACCACCCACGGGATGGTATGGGGGTGGGTGTCTGTTACCCTTCCACTACCACCCACGGGATGGTATGGGGGGGGTGTCTGTTACCCTTCCACTACCACCCACGGGATGGTATGGGGGGGAGGTGTCTGTTACCCTTCCACTACCACCCACGGGATGGTATGGGGGTGGGTGTCTGTTACCCTTCCACTACCACCCATAGGATGGAATGGGGTGTGTCTGTTACCCTTCCACTACCAATCACGGGATGGTATGGGGGGGGTGTCTGTTACCCTTCCACTACCACTCACGGGATGGTATGGGGGGGGGTGTCTGTTACCCTTCCACTACCACTCACGGGATGGTATGGGGGGGGGTGTCTGTTACCCTTCCACTACCACTCACGGGATGGTATGGGGGGGGGGTGTCTGTTACCCTTCCACTACCACTCACGGGATGGTATGGGGGGGGGTGTCTGTTACCCTTCCACTACCACTCACGGGATGGTATGGGGGGGTGTCTGTTACCCTTCCACTACCACTCACGGGATGGTATGGGGGGGGTGTCTGTTACCCTTCCACTACCACACACGGGATGGTATGGGGGGGGGTGTCTGTTACCCTTCCACTACCACACACGGGATGGTATGGGGGGGTGTCTGTTACCCTTCCACTACCACTCACGGGATGGTATAGGGGGGGGGTGTCTGTTACCCTTCCACTACCACCCACGGGATGGTATGGGGGTGGGTGTCTGTTACCCTTCCACTACCACCCATAGGATGGAATGGGGTGTGTCTGTTACCCTTCCACTACCAATCACGGGATGGTATGGGGGTGGGTGTCTGTTACCCTTCCACTACCACCCATAGGATGGAATGGGGTGTGTCTGTTACCCTTCCACTACCACTCACGGGATGGTATGGGGTGCCTCTTACCGTTCCACTACAACCCACAAAATAACTATGGGTTGAATAACTAAACTAAAGTAACTAAAATAATTTGAATGAACTAATGTAATTTTTCTGTGTGGGCAGAAAGCAGAAGCAGACTTGGCGCACGACCTGCAGACCTGCAAGATCAAGCAGAGGATCAAGCAGGAGACCATGGAGACAAAGGTACTGTATACTGAAGGTATTCTTCTCCTAATGTTGCTGATGGTGAGTGACCCCGTGGTGCGGTGGCCAGGTGTTGTTGATAGTGACCCCGTGGTGCGGTGGCCAGCTGTTGTTGATAGTGACCCCGTGGTGCGGTGGCCAGGTGTTGTTGATAGTGACCCCGTGGTGCGGTGGTCAGCTGTTGTTGATAGTGACCCCGTGGTGCGGTGTACAGCTGTTGTTGGTGATAGTGACCCCGTGGTGCGGTGGCCAGCTGTTGTTGATAGTGACCCCGTGGTGCAGTGGCCAGCTGTTGTTGATAGTGACCCCGTGGTGCGGTGGCCAGCTGTTGTTGATAGTGACCCCGTGGTGCGGTGTACAGCAGTTGTTGGTGATAGTGACCCCGTGGTGCGGTGTACAGCTGTTGATGATAGTGACCCTGTGGTGCGGTGTCCAGCTGTTGTTGATAGTGACCCCGTGGTGCGGTGGCCAGGTGTTGTTGATAGTGACCCCGTGGTGCGGTGGTCAGCTGTTGTTGATAGTGACCCCGTGGTGCGGTGTACAGCTGTTGTTGGTGATAGTGACCCCGTGGTGCGGTGGCCAGCTGTTGTTGATAGTGACCCCGTGGTGCAGTGGCCAGCTGTTGTTGATAGTGACCCCGTGGTGCGGTGGCCAGCTGTTGTTGATAGTGACCCCGTGGTGCGGTGTACAGCTGTTGTTGGTGATAGTGACCCCGTGGTGCGGTGTACAGCTGTTGATGATAGTGACCCCGTGGTGCGGTGGCCAGCTGTTGTTGATAGTGACCCCGTGGTGCGGTGGCCAGCTGTTGTTGATAGTGACCCCGTGGTGTGGTGGCCAGCTGTTGTTGATAGTGACCCCGTGGTGCGGTGTACAGCTGTTGTTGATAGTGACCCCGTGGTGCGGTGGCCAGCTGTTGTTGATAGTGACCCCGTGGTGTGGTGGCCAGCTGTTGTTGATAGTGACCCCGTGGTGCGGTGGCCAGCTGTTGTTGATAGTGACCCCGTGGTGTGGTGGCCAGCTGTTGTTGATAGTGACCCCGTGGTGCGGTGGCCAGCTGTTGTTGATCGTGACCCCGTGGTGCGGTGGCCAGATGTTGGTGATAGTGATCCCGTGGTGCGGTGGCCAGATGTTGGTGATAGTGACCCCGTGGTGCGGTGGCCAGCTGTTGTTGATAGTGACCCCGTGGTGCGGTGGCCAGGTGTTGTTGATAGTGACCCCGTGGTGCGGTGGCCAGCTGTTGTTGATCGTGACCCCGTGGTGCGGTGGCCAGATGTTGGTGATAGTGACCCTGTGGTACAGTGTCCAGCTGTTTAGGTGATAGTGACCCCGTGGTGCAGTGTATAACTGGTGTTAATGATAATGAGTGATCTGGTGGTGTAGTGTCCAGCTGTTCTTGATGATAGTGACCCTGTGGTACAGTTGATAGTGAGTGACTCCGTGGTGATGGTGTAGAGGTTATCACGCAAAGTCAATGTTTTACATGTTCTTCAATAAATATAATAAATGTTATGAGTTTAGCAAGACAATGTTGAAGGAGGCGTCCAATATGGCGTTCCTCTGCGAGTGGTGAACATTCCCTACACAATATTCCTCTACGAGTGGTGAACATTCCCTACACAATATTCCTCTACGAGTGGTGAACATTCCCTTCACAATATTCCTCTACGAGTGGTGAACATTCCCTTCACAATATTCCTCTACGAGTGATGAACATTCCCTTCACAATATTCCTCTACGAGTGGTGAACATTCCCTTCACAATATTCCTCTACGAGTGATGAACATTCCCTTCACAATATTCCTCTACGAGTGGTGAACATTCCCTTCACAATATTCCTCTACGAGTGGTGAACATTCCCTACACAATATTCCTCTACGAGTGGTGAACATTCCCTTCACAATATTCCTCTACGAGTGGTGAACATTCCCTTCACAATATTCCTCTACGAGTGGTGAACATTCCCTTCACAATATTCCTCTACGAGTGGTGAACATTCCCTTCACAATATTCCTTTACGTGTGGTGAACATTCCCTTCACAATATTCCTCTACGAGTGGTGAACATTCCCTTCACAATATTCCTCTACGAGTGATGAACATTCCCTTCACAATATTCTTCTACGAGTGGTGAACATTCCCTTCACAATATTCCTCTACGAGTGATGAACATTCCCTTCACAATATTCCTCTACGAGTGATGAACATTCCCTTCACATTATTCCTCTACGAGTGGTGAACATTCCCTTCACAATATTCCTCTACGAGTGGTGAACATTCCCTTCACAATATTCCTCTACGAGTGGTGAACATTCCCTTCACAATATTCCTTTACGAGTGGTGAACATTCCCTTCACAATATTCCTCTACGAGTGGTGAATATTCCCTTCACAATATTCCTCTACGAGTGGTGAACATTCCCTTCACAATATTCTTCTACGAGTGGTGAACATTCCCTTCACAATATTCCTTTACGAGTGGTGAACATTCCCTTCACAATATTCCTCTACGAGTGATGAACATTCCCTTCACAATATTCCTCTACGAGTGGTGAACATTCCCTTCACAATATTCCTCTACGAGTGGTGAACATTCCCTACACAATATTCCTCTACGAGTGGTGAACATTCCCTTCACAATATTCCTCTACGAGTGGTGAACATTCCCTTCACAATATTCCTTTACGAGTGGTGAACATTCCCTTCACAATATTCCTCTACGAGTGGTGAACATTCCCTTCACAATATTCCTCTACGAGTGGTGAACATTCCCTTCACAATATTCCTTTACGTGTGGTGAACATTCCCTTCACAATATTCCTCTACGAGTGGTGAACATTCCCTTCACAATATTCCTCTACGAGTGATGAACATTCCCTTCACAATATTCCTCTACGAGTGGTGAACATTCCCTTCACAATATTCCTCTACGAGTGATGAACATTCCCTTCACAATATTCCTCTACGAGTGATGAACATTCCCTTCACATTATTCCTCTACGAGTGGTGAACATTCCCTTCACAATATTCCTCTACGAGTGGTGAACATTCCCTTCACAATATTCTTCTACGAGTGGTGAACATTCCCTTCACAATATTCCTTTACGAGTGGTGAACATTCCCTTCACAATATTCCTCTACGAGTGGTGAACATTCCCTTCACAATATTCCTCTACGAGTGGTGAACATTACCTTCACAATATTCCTCTACGAGTGGTGAACATTCCCTTCACAATATTCCTTTACGAGTGGTGAACATTCCCTTCACAATATTCCTCTACGAGTGGTGAACATTCCCTTCACAATATTCCTCTACGAGTGGTGAACATTCCCTTCACAATATTCCTCTACGAGTGCAACCCGTTCTCACACAAGACAGCACATATATGACTTAATGCTTAAAGTCAATATGTTGAATATGAATTAGTAAATATGTGATATATTCCCAGTTACTTTTTTTTCCAAGGCCCAAACTCTTCCTCACGTACCAACTTGCGTCTCACAGTACCCGTCCGTCAACCTAGATAGCAGAATAGTCGTGATTGGTTCAATTATAAGGAAAATTGTACTTTTCAGGTCCCACATGGGTTGTGAAATTTACCTACTATTGTCCATGCTCTTAGAATATTATAGATCAGCTACCTCCTATTGAAGGTTCGTAGTTTTGTTTTGAGAAATATTAGTTGTTCTTAGTAAATTATAATAAGCACTAAAAATTATTACATAGAATAACAGTCCTTCACCAATTAATATTATATACCATAGTTGGTGCTTTACAAATCTTTAAAGGATGTTTTGTAGGAACGCTAACAGAAAACGATGGTTCATTGGAATGTCTGTGGGGTAAACTACTCTAAACAGGATGGTATTGTGTCTACTATACCAACTACAGGATCGGTATATTGTCCACTACCACCTGTTAGGTGAGTAAGGGGTGCAATACCACCCACAGGATGGGTATGAGGGTCACATCCACCCAGAGGATGAGTATGGGGATCACATCCACCCACAGGAAGGGTATGGGGTCCAATACCACCCACAGGATGAGTATGGCGTCCACTACAACCCACAGGATGGGTATGGGGCTCCAACCACCCATAGAATGGGTATGGGGCTCCAACCACCCATAGAATGGGTATGGGGCTCCAACCACCCATAAAATGGGTATGGGGTCCAATAACACCCACTGGATGTGTATATGGCGTCCATTGCCGCGCGTCGAGCTCGAAAACCGCAGCATTCATCTCAGAACCATGCCTATTTCACGCAGATTCCTTAATAAACGTAAAAGTTTTATATGTCACAAGAAAGATAGAAATATAAGCTTCATTCTAAATACCTTACCATGGGCATATTTAAATTTAAACCGAAGATACGTGTACTTTTATAATAGCCGAGCTCCGACCCCGGACAGATCGATCGACCGAGCAACTCTCTCTCAGAACAATGTTTATTTCACGTGAATTCGTTAGTAAACATATATGTTTTATATGTCTCAAGAAAGACAGACATATAAGCTTCACTTTAAACACTTTACTATAGACATATTTAAATTTCTAATGAAGATTATTGTATTTTAAAAATTACGGAGCTCCCACCCCGTACAGACTGAACGACAGAGCAACTCTCTCTCAGATCAATGTTTATTTCACGTAAATTCGTTAATAAACACAAATGTTTTATAAGTCTTAAACAAGATAGAAATAAGAGCTTCATTTTAAATACATTACAATAGACATATTTATAGCTCAAGTGAAGATACATATGTTTTTATAGTAGCGCTCAGTAGCGTGTCGGGCATGGAGTGCAGACGCCTACGCACTTGCCGATATATTGTATAATTAACAAAGATACGCTAATAAAGCGTAAAATCTTATATGCCTCCAGAAAGACCGATATATGAACATTATTATAATTGCACCAAATGAAATATATCATGTTCGAGAACAAAGATATATCAATTTTAAATTAAGTTTCGACTCTCTCTCGGGTGAGAAGAGATGGG